GAACCAAGCTCTGTACCACTGAATTACCAGTCACAAATATATTCAATGCACCTTACAGAAACGAACGAGAACATATGCAAAGAAATATCGCAGCTAGCAGGATTCGAACCCACATTGGTGGCTACCAAGAGTGTGGCTTACCTCCCAGCGTGACACACTAAACCATTTAGCTGCAGACGCCACATGACGTTAGGTAACCTGCTTGTCTGCAAGATATGTTTCCTACGAATACCGGGTGCACCAGTGAGCCTTAAGTATGGTTTCCAGCTATTTCATTCTTCTCCTGTATGTTCTGGTCTCACCGGCGATGCACCTCACAAAAACTGACTAAAGTACATACAAAGAAATATCACAGCCAGCAAGATTCGATTCACATTGAGATTTAAGCCATACTTATGGATAATTTCTTTCAACGTTGGTTTGAATCCTGCTGGCTGCGATATATGTAAATATATTATAATATATATTATATATATTATATATATATATATATATATAATATATATATATATAATTATATAAATATATATAATATTTATAAGCAAGAAAAGTGAAGGTAGTGCTGACCTTCATGTGTGTAGTAGTGGTGTACGACTTGAAGATGCACGTAGCAGGTGTTTAGCGCCAGTGAGGCAGTCCGGGCAATCTGCTGGCCTTATGAAGCTTCCTGTCTGCTGGACCACACGCCTGCGTACTCTTCCTCCTCTCTTCCTCTGACATACCTTTCCTCCCTACCTAACCCTCCCTTCCTCTCACCTTTCTTGACTTTCTCTACCTTCAATCATTCGTAATATTCCTCTCCTTTGCTTCCTCGTCACCTTCCTTGCTCTTTCCTTCTCCACGTCACCATCAGCCATGCGCGCCCCCGCTACCCAAACCCCTTTTAAGCCTCTGACACAATTTTAATCTACTATTTCTAAACGGTCTAAGCGGTTACACATTCCCAACCAGGTTAATTGAAGTTACTTCAACGTTAATAAATTTAAATTTACGCAATTTAAAACTGGATAATCAAAAGAGTAAAGAATTCTATAAAACAAAAAGTACCACAAGGACAGGGTAATTTTTTTAACACACCGGCCGTCTTCCACAAAGGCGGGGTGACCCGAAAAAGAAGAAACACTCCATCACTATCTTGTTGTTAGAAGAGACACATATGCAACAGTTAGGTATCTTTATTTCGAAACGTTTCGCCTACATAGTAGGCCTCTTCAAGTAGAAGCAGAAAAGATGTGAAGACGATGTAATCAGTCCTGGCTGGTCAGTACTTGACTAGTCAGGCTGTGGTTCATGTTGGATTGCGTGCGGCTAGCAGTAACAGCCTGGTTGATTAGGCCTTGGTCCACCATGAGGCCTGGTCACAGCCCGGGACGCGGGGGCGTTGACCCCCGGAACTCTCCAGGTATACTCCAGGTATCACCCTTGAAGATCTAGTTTTGAGGTGGTCAGTCCGTCAGCCTGGAGAAGAGTATTTGCCCAGCTGTTGCACATATGATAAATACTTCAAGATGGCCTCTTAAAAAAAAAAAGACCTTTACCGGCATCAGAGGGTGTAGCAGCAGGTAAAATCCGAGTCAAGTCTGGAGAAATTCTAGGTAAACGTTGAATGGTAAAGTTGATCTTGTTTTATATCAGTTGCTTGGCCTTTGTTCGTGAGATGGGTTGCAGGGCTGCCCAGGATCATCCTCCATTATCAACTTGACGGGTCGCTCCTCTCTATTGTTAACTACATGTAAGCTAATCTGCCCACACAAAGCCTCTCATTTGTTTTTTCATAGTTGGGGATAGTCTGGCTGGGGTTCTATCATCGTACCTCAGCCGTCCACACATACCTCTGGCGTCGTGATACATACCTCTGGCGTCCTGACACATACCTCTGGCGTCGTGATACATACCTCTGGCGTCGTGATACATACCTCTGGCGTCGTGATACATACCTCTGGCGTCCTGACACATACCTCTGGCGTCCTGACACAACTCTGGCGTAGTTCCTCAAACATACCTCTGGCGTCCTGACACATACTCTGGGTACTGAACTCACCTCCCACTATACCTCAGCGTCCTGACACATACATCTGGAGTCCTGACACATACCTCTGGCGTAGTGATACCTCAGCCGTCCACACACACCTCTGGCATCCTGATATATACCTCTGGCGTCGTGATACATACCTCAGCCGTCCATACATACCTCTGGCATCCTGATATATACCTCTGGCGTCGTGATACATACCTCTGGCGCCGTGATACATACCTGTGGCGTCGTGATACATACCTGTGGCGTCCTGACACATACCTCTGGCATCCTGACACATACCTCTGGCGTCGTGATACATACCTCTGGCGTCGTGATACATACTTCTGGCGTCCTGACATACCTCTGGCATTCTGACACATACTTCTGGCGTCGTGATACATACTTCTGGCGTCGTGACATACCTCTGGCATCCTGACACATACTTCTGGCGTCGTGATACATACCTCTGGCGTCGTGATACATGCCTCTGGCATCCTCATACATACATCTGGCATCATGATACATACCTCTGGCGTCCTGACACCTACCTCTGGGTCGTGATACATGCCTCTGGCATCTATACATACATCTGGCATCGTGATACATACCTCTGGCATCCTGACACATACTTCTGGTGCCCTGACACATACCTCTGGCATCGTGATACATACCTCTGGCATCCTGACACATACTTCTGGCGTCTTGGCACATACTTCTGGCATGTGATACATACTCTCTGGATGCCCCTGGCACACATACCTCTGGCATCCTGATACATACCTCTGGCATCCTGACACATACTTCTGGCATTGGTACATACTCTGGCATATGATACATACCTCTGGCATCATGATACATCCTCTGGCGTCCTGAACATACTCTGGCATCTGATACATACCTCTGGGGTCCTGACTACATACTCTGGCATTGTTGACTACGTACCTCTGGCGTCAGAGCATACCTGACATTTAGAACTATCCAACTTTGTAACGGTCATGATACAAAGTGCTGAGCATGAACGTGATCAATCCACACCTTGAGTCCCTGAAATTTGGGTTTGTACAGTACCCTCGCCTGGAGTAAGAATCATGGCCCAAATTAGGCAACTTATTCCAAACATTTTGCATACACATTGATGCATTCTTCGTCCAGTACACAACTCGCGGCATTGAACATGTAACATCCATCACCTAGTCGTAATTTAGTTGTCATCCCTCAGCCTGAAATATTCTCGTTTAAAGCTGAACTCTGGTTTGATACCATTTGAGATACCTCTGGCATCCTGCAATACCTCTGGCTACCTGACACATACTTTGGCATCCTGAAATGTATCCTTGGCATCCTGATACATACCTCTAGCATCCAGACATATACCTCTGGTGTCCTGATACATACTTCTGGCGTTTAACGCATACCTCTGGCGTTTGACGCATACCTCTGGCGGTTGACGCATACCTCTGGCATCCTGACAAATACCTCTGGCTACCTGACGCATACTTTTGGCATCCTGAAATGTATCCTTGGCATCCTGATACATACCTCTGGCATCATGATACATACCTCTGGCTTCATGATACATACCTCTGGCGTCCTCATACGTACTGCTGGCATCTTGACAGGTGCCTCTTGTGTCCTGACACATACCTCTAGTGTCTTGACACATACCTCTGGCATTCTGATACCTCTGGCTTCCTTACATATACCTTTGGAGTCCTGATGCATACCTCTGGCATCATGATACATACTTTTGGCGTCCTGTTTCATACCTCTGGCATGACATGTCTCTGGTGTCGTGATACATACCTCTGGCATGATACCGTTGGCGTCCTGATACATACCTCTGGCGTCTTGAAGCATACCTCTGGCATCCTGACAAATACCTCTGGCTTCCTGACGCATACTTTTGGCATCCTGAAACGTATCCTTGGCATCCTGATACATACCTCTGGCGTCATGATACATACCTCTGGCTTCATGATATATACCTCTGGCGTCCTCATACGTACTGCTGGCATCTTGACAGGTGCCTCTTGCGTCCTGACACATACCTCTAGCGTCTTGACACATACCTCTGGCATTCTGATACCTCTGGCTTCCTTACACATACCTTTGGAGTCCTGATGCATACATCTGGCGTCATGATACATACTTTTGGCGTCCTGTTACATACCTCTGGCACGACATGTCTCTGGCATCGTGATACATACCTCTGGCGTGATACCGTTGGAGTCCTGATACATACCTCTGGCGTCTTGACACATGCCTCTGGTGTCTTGAGACATAGCTCTGGCATTTCATCATGTCATGCTAAATGTAAATTGCATATGAAATGTTAAGACAAAGTCAAGAATAATTCTTGCAGTAGTTGCCTGTTTTTCGAACTGCGATGTGACAGGACAATGTTAAATTAAATATGTATCAAAAACTAGTTATTCTTTGCTATGGTAATTTTGGATTGTTGGATACGGAAATGATGCTGAGAATTGCAAATGGGTTGTATTTACAAAGATATAGACACAGGCCAGTATCTTTGTGCTGGGAAGGGAGTTGAGTAAATAAACTGTACAGGGAAAAGGCTTTTAATTCAAACTCACAAGGCACAATTGTATTGTTATAATCAAAAAGAAACACTAAACCTACAAGTGTCATACAGCACAGCAGGGCAGGGAAGCATGCAGGGGTATTGGGTAGCAAGAAAAGGAGGGATGATTATTAGGGCATGGAGTATGATTGTATAAAACATAGTTTCTTAAAGCAACAATGCATAATTAAGCGTCTATATTCACTGTCCTCAAACCCATAAAGTGACACCTTTTTTTCTCTGAAGAACAAAATTGATCCAAATTAGTATACGAGTGTAATTGGGATCTACATTTTTTACTTTGAATTAGGCAATTATGTATTACCCGAGTTGTCTTGAACACTAGTAAACATTTTAATACAAATACATAAACACATATAATAGGTTAATTAAAACATGAAATTTATTATCTAGATATTTATTGAATGGATTTTTACTATATACACATTAACAATAAGAATGATTTCCTACATATCTGACACCACGTTTACTGAAGAAACTCCACCCAGAGGGTGGAAGACAAAGAATTCTTGAAGCAAACATTTTAAACACTATTCTAGTCTATTCTGTATAAATGTTTCAAGTACCATTAATCATACATCACAATTTCATGAATAACTTACAACACGCATTTTCTATGTCTACATTACTGGGCTAACTTTTAGCCTATATTTACCACTACAGTAGTACAGTGCCACTCTTTTATGGTCACTCGAAATAATGTCTTCACCAGCCTCCTGATATAGGCTAATTTTAATATTTTTTAATGCCACTACATCACCAATATAAAGGTTGACAAACATGTCACCTGATTACTAACAATGAATGCAATCAAATGATATTAGTTCATAAAAATATAACCTCTGCAGGCCTACTTGAAATGAACATTTACCACTGTATATTAGCCAAAATATTTAAGCTGTGGCATTTTCATTAAAAAAACTTTTTACAATAAGCATTTTTAATCTCAACATATATTTATTGCAAATATAAAACAGTGACTCTTGACAATACAATTTACGTCAATCACTTTTTTACAACTTCCCCTTCTTCTTTAATTTCATCTAATACAAACTTACAGACAAAACATGTCCAGAGAGAAAGTACAGCACCTAATGTAAGACAGAATCTTAATCCTTTAAACCAATTTGGATAACCCCACATAGCTAGATCCATATACCCAGCAAATCCAAGCCCAGCAATAACAGTAACTACCCCAACAGAATAAGGGGCTAAAATCCCAAGCCATGCAATCAGAGGAGGAGTCATGCTATATCCTAAATTATGCCAGTCAGGAGGTTGTGAACTACCTTCTGGCAGTGTGAACCCCCATCGTACACCACCCAGGAAGGATAAAACCACGGCACCATAAACAAGCTGTGTATCAGCAATACTTGGGTCAAAACCTCCAGAGGCAATCATCAACACTGGTGCTGCTGCAATAGGTATAAGGCCAGAAAATCCAAAGGCTAGTGCTGGGGTTGGAGAATGTTTCATCTGAAAATTAAATTGTTTAAAGAAAATTATTCATTAATGTCCATAGCACACTAATAATTTACAAGTCTTTATTAAACTAGAAAACTTTGGTTAAGAGAAACATCCAATATAAACTCTGACATTATAATATGAAAGTTTGCTTAAGAAAATATTAAATTTTGTCTGTGAAAAGTATTAAAACTATTATCTGCATTCTTCTACTATATAAAAGGGTATGCAAAACAACTACCGTGAAAGAATAGCGAAATTCGAAGCACTTTCATGACTTCTCACATTATCAAGGAATTATATTTGTATAGTTGTTTTGCATATTGTGATATCACCTGTTTACTGTGATCTTATTGCATAAAAGGATATGTGCACCATAAATTCCCCACATAGGATGACTGCTGCACAACACTGCAACTTTGCCGATGAAGACTTCATCAAATTATTTCTCGTTCTCTTTAACCCTTAACTATGAAGTTGATGATGTAAATTTACACCAATTGGGAAAATGTCATTGAAGTAAATTTATGCTAAATATGTAGGACCCCCCAAAATGGTCTTTTTGGCTTGGTTAGGATTATATCAGAGAAAACATCTGAGCAGGTTATGTGGAAGCCAGTAATGTCATTTACATTCGCTAACATTTCTTAAATGTTTGTATTTTAGTATTATTGAACAATAAATATACGTGAAGTGTGATATGAAAATATACATTAGGGCCCCGCTTTATGGTGTTTCACCTCATGGTGTTCTGCTAATACGGTGATTTCAAATTATGACCAAAATTTGCTATACGGCAATATGGAACACCCTACCCGGTTTCTTTACATTCTCCGTGAGCACATCTATTATGTCTGCAAATTTTAAAAAATTTCAAGTGATTTTAAGTTATTGCATATTTTATATGTACAGTAGGGCTCCACTTTTCGGCGTTTTGCCTTACAGCATTCCGCTAATACGGCGATCTCAAATTATGACCAAAACTTTCTATACGGCAAGCGGTCTTTCAAATACGGAGCATGCCACCCAGTTTGTTTACATTCTCCATGAGCACACCTCTCTATTAAGTAATAATAATCACTCTTGGGCACATAAAATGTCTAATTTTATGTTAATATAGACATTTTCATTAATCCATCTATGATATTTTCTTCAAAATTATATAAGAAAGATGTTAAGAAAGATTTAGGCTAAAACATTGTGTAGTTTTAAAAATAGGTTAGATAAATACATGAGCGGGTGTGGGTGGGTGTGAGTTGGACCTGACTAACTTGTGCTGCTGGGTCTGGCATCGTGCTCCTTCCTTGAGTGGAGGTGACCAGACTGGGTGGGTCACTGGGCTAATCGGGGGGAGACATGGACCTGCTCCGCATGGGTCAGTAGGCCTGTTGTATTGTTCCTTCTTTCTTATGTTCTTACATAGCATATAAACATGCTGTTTATATACAGTGGAGGTGTGATTGCCAAGTGGAGGGAAAACATTACTTCATGCAAATAATAATCACTCTTGGGCACATTAAATACCTTATTTTACATCAATATAGTCATTTTCATTAATCCATCTATGATATTTCCTTCAAAATTATATAACAAACACGTTACATGGCATATAAACCTTTTGTTTATATACTATGGAGGTGTGGTTGCCGGGTGGAGGGAAAACATTACGTTACTCCCCTTAATATATAACGCTTTTGTTTACAATTCTCGGCATGAATTATTCATTATTTCTCCCTTTGTTTATGATGGCATCTAAAGGTAGTTGTTAGAAACTCTTAAGCTTGGTGAACATGGTGTGTCGATGGTAATTATTATTATTTTTTTTTATTTTTTTTTTATTATCACACCGGCCGATTCCCACCAAGGCAGGGTGGCCCGAAAAAGAAAAACTTTCACCATCATTCACTCCATCACTGTCTTGCCAGAAGGGTGCTTTACACTACAGTTTTTAAACTGCAACATTAACACCCCTCCTTCAGAGTGCAGGCACTGTACTTCCCATCTCCAGGACTCAAGTCCGGCCTGCCGGTTTCCCTGAATCCCTTCATAAATGTTACTTTGCTCACACTCCAACAGCACGTCAAGTATTAAAAACCATTTGTCTCCATTCACTCCTATCAAACACGCTCACGCATGCCTGCTGGAAGTCCAAGCCCCTCGCACACAAAACCTCCTTTACCCCCTCCCTCCAACCCTTCCTAGGCCGACCCCTACCCCGCCTTCCTTCCACTACAGACTGATACACTCTTGAAGTCATTCTGTTTCGCTCCATTCTCTCTACATGTCCGAACCACCTCAACAACCCTTCCTCAGCCCTCTGGACAACAGTTTTGGTAATCCCGCACCTCCTCCTAACTTCCAAACTACGAATTCTCTGCATTATATTATTATAATCATTATATTATTATTATTATTATTATAATCAAAAAGAAGCGCTAAGCGCTGCAGGGTAGTGAAGGAAGCGAGGGTATTGGATGGCAGAAGGGAGGAGGGATGATCAGTAGGTTACAGAAAACAGCGGGGCAGGGGATAGTACGGGGTTAGAGGGTAGCAAGAGATTGAAGTAGAAAGGGCTGAAGGTATCAGAATTTGTAGCAAGAGATTGAAGTAGAAACGGCTGAAGGTATCAGAATTTGTGAAGTAAGTCAGCTGTTGTCAAAAAGTCAAGGAGAGAGTCTGGATGAAAGGTGGGTCCATAAGCGAGAAGGGAAGGTAAAGAGAGAGCAGCGGAGTGAAGACGACGACGGAGGTAAATTCTGCGTGCTTGTTGATAAAGTGGGCAGTCCAACAGAATGTGGCTAACTGATAATGGAGCTTGGCAATTCTCACAGAGAGGAGCAGGGCGCCTCTCCATGAGATATCCATGAGTAAGACGAGTATGGCCAATGCGAAGACGGGAGAGAGTAGTCTCCCAACCTCGACACTGGTGATAAGAAGACGGCCAGTAACCTATACTCGGTTTAATAGATTGAAGTTTGTTGCTGAGCATAGTAGACCAACGTTGTTGCCAAAGGGTGTGAAGGTGGGAAGATATTGCAGCAAAATAGTCCGTAAATGGAATACCTCTATATGAAACTGGTAGGTCATGTACTGCTGACCGCGCAGCAGTGTCTGCCTGTTCATTGCCCTGTACGTCGACATGACCAGGGACCCAACAAAAAACAATATCTTTATGCTTGGTAAAGATGCGGCGTAGCCAAAGTTGGATACGGAGGACTAAGGGGTGAGGTGTATCAAATTTCTGTATAGCCTGTAAAGCACTAAGGGAGTCTGAGACAACCACAAATGATGACACAGGCATAGATGCAATAAGGATAAGTGCTGCAAGGATGGCATACAATTCAGCAGTAAAAATACTAGCCGAAGATGGTAAATGCCCTCGTACGACGCTGTCCGGAAACACTGCTGCGAATCCTACGCCGTCAGAAGATTAAGAGCCATCTGTGTACACAGCAATGGCATGAGAATGAGAGTGGAAGTGGTCAAGAAAAAGAGAGTGGGAAGCGACGGTAGACAGTTGGGCTTTCGAACAAGGGAGAGAGAAAGAACAGACTCGAACAGCTGGAACTTCCCAGGGGTGTAGGGAAAAGTGAGATGCTACATGAACATAGAGAGGTGGTAATTGAAGAGAAGACAAGAGTGAATGAAGGCGAAGAGAGAAGGGACGGAGTAAACGGGCGGCGAACAAATAAAGAATGTCTACTAATATCAGTGACCATTCTATAAATGGAAGGATTGCGGAGATCATGAGAGCGTACATAGTAGCAAAGGCAATGGGCATCACGGCAATCAGATAAGGATGGAACGTTCGCTTCTGCATATAGGCTCTCGACAGGGGAAGAGCGAAAAGCACCAAGGCATAAACGTAATCCTTGGTGATGAATGGGGTTAAGGCTAGAGAGAGTAGCAGGAGATGCCGCTGAATAGATCTGGTCACCATAATCAAGTTTCGATAAAATGAGGGTGGAATGTAGGCGAAGGAGGGTTTGACGATCAGCTCCCCATGAAAGATGAGCAAGGGTTTTAACCCTTTGACTGTCGCGGCCGTATATATACGTTTGTGAGGTACCGTGTTTGACGTATATATACTCATAAATTCTAGCGGCTTCAAATCAGGCAGGAGAAAGCTAGTAGGCCCACATGTGAGAGAATGGGTCTGTGTGGTCAGTGTGCACCACATAAAAAAAATCCTGGAGCACGCAGTGCATAATGAGAAAAAAAAAACTCCGACTGTTTTTTTTAATTAAAATGCCGACTTTGTGGTCTATTTTCGTATAGTATTTGTGGTTGTATTCTCGTTTTCATGGTCTCATTTGATAGAATGGAAACTATATTATAGAAATGGAGGTGATTTTGATTAATTTTACTATAAAAAGAACCTGGAAATGGAGCACAAAGTACAGGAAATGTTTGATTTTTGCCGATGTTCAAAAGTAAACAAATGATGTCATTGTCCAATAAATGTCCAAATAGCCATTCTAATACGCAGTCATGAATGGGTTGATGTAATTTTTACAATTATTACAGTATTGCAGTAGTCTGCATAACAGTAAATCTTCTATTTTTTGTTTGAATAAAATTTCAAAATAAAAAGCAAGAGTAATATCACAGGGACCTGGAGACATGACTGATGAACAAAGAAAATCTTATTTTAGAGCCAGGAATGTCTGCATTGTTCATTCTGGACCTTATTTTGAAATTGTCGTATTTTTTAATTTTCGTGAAATTGGCCAAATTGCAAATTTCTGACCATGTTATTGGGTAGTTGAAATCGGTAAATGGGCAGTTTCTTGTGCTCAATCGATAGAAAAAATAGAGTTCTGAAGAAATAGTTATGAGTTTGGTTGACTGGAATAACGGAATTAGCCGAAAATAGGGCTCAAAGTGGGCGAAATTGCCGATTTTTAAATATCGCCGAAGTCGCTAACTTCGCAAGAGCGTAATTCCGTCAGTTTTCCATCAAATTTCGTTTTTTTGGTGTCTTTACAATCGGGAAAAGATTCTCTATCATT